AGTAGTAGTAGTAGTAGTAGTAGTAGTAGTAGTAGTAGTAGTAGTAGTAAGTGGTAGTAGTAGTAGTAGTAAGTGGTAGTGGTAGTGGTAGTGGTAGTAGTAGTAGTAGTCGTAGTGGTAGTGGTAGTGGTAAGTAGTAGTTGCTGTTGGACACAGTTCGGGTGTCCAACAGGCATGCTGCCAAAATTGGGTCATAGATGGCGCAAGCAGGGGTAGTGTGGTATAAATAAAGATTGCTCAACAATAGAACATTCGCCATCTACTCCCACCTCGGAGTAAATCTGTTTTCACTCTTGTTGAATTGGTATTGGCCCAGATGGTAGCCTGCAGGCGGAGGAACTCTGGTTCTTCAAGGCGTGGCTTCCTGTGTGTCACCTCGTGCTACTTTGTTGCATGTTTCTGTAGGAGAGGCGATTAGAAAATGAACAGCGTAGTGGTTCTTAACTACATCTAGAGCGAAGCACATGTCACCCTCAGAGCGCCTGCACCAACAGACTGTGCATTTTCCGTGCCTGACCTGTCGGTGCTCACAGTGACATTGCAGAAGTCTCCATACAACTTGAGCCAACTACCAAAATCTCTACTCAACAGCAGTGACGCATATACTTGCAAGAAGTTTCACGCACCCCACAAGCTTTTGCAATATTCATATCGCACATGAACCTTTAGGACGCGAACAGAGCCTTCTTATGGCTATGCATGCGCTATTTACTACTTTGCAGCCCACTAGCTCGTAGGTCTTCCTCTTTGCCCAGCCATCATGCCAGGGAACCTTGGCATTGTTGACGACCACTTCTTCAGCGTCAATCAGGATGACCAGAGACAGGTGTGCCTCTGTTGGTCCTATGGAAGCAGGACATACCATGACGACCAGCCAGAGCTCATCCATGAAAGATGGCCAAACCAGTCCATAGCAACCAGATGCTGGGTTGCCCATGGAGAAACCTGGCAGTTTTGGCGAGTGGTCCAGTGGTCCAGTGGATGGGAAGACTGGGTTAGGAACAACAGCCGCAACTTCACAGATGCCTACACCATCCAGATCTGCTTCGGGCGGACGCGCTAGACCCAACCAACTGCGTGTCTCATACCGTGACTTCTTCCTGATAAATTCTGTGTGGACGTCGTTCTGCGGAAGCACAACACTATCTTTGCTGTGTACAAAGACTAGTCGCGAGCAGAACAGCGAGAGTGCGCTAAAACATCTACAGTGCCTGCTGTGACTGCTGTGTGTCACCTCATGCTACTTTGTCGCGTTTTTCTCTGAGACAGTCAATTACTCAATGACAAGCATAGTGGTTGGTTAACTACATCCTAGAAAAGCTGTGTCCTGGAGTGAAGTAAACGTTTTTGCCCGGAAGATATATATCGATGGATGCCTTTCCTCTGACAGGTCACTGCTTCGAGACGCTTCTGGCGTGGCTGCCTCAGCTTTTTCTGTGTTCATTCCAGCTCGGTTTTTTCAGCCGTGCACTCGGTTTTTTCATTCTCCCCTTACCAGCAGCTCACACGCTCATGACGATGAGCTGGGCTGTCACCGCTTGGCCGCCGGT